GTGTGTGTGTGTGTGTGTGTGTGTGTGTGTGTGTATATATATATATATATATATATATATATATATATATATATATGCGAGTACTTTATGGGGGATTGAGGGCACAAGAAACAGCGGTGAAAGAGATTGAAGTAGTGAGAGACAGCATAAGGTATGTTACTGAACTGCTTAATCCCATGAGCCACATGCAAAGCCACATAATCCATAGCTCAGTAGTTCCTGTCTGGAGTGAGAAAGGAAGGTGCACTTATCTGCCAGCTTGAATCCTCACTGGTCAAAAGATCACTCCACTGAAGAATTAAATCCCTGTATCACTTATTTTCCCATGGTTGGGACAAAATATCTGGTACCAGTAATTTAAAAGGAGGAAAGGTTTATTTAGGCTCACAGTTTCCACAGATTCAGTCCATGGTTGGCTGACTGTAAGGCAGAAATGGCTTAGCAGGATGGTGTAAAAGAGAAAAAGTGTTCACTACATAGTGGCCAGGAATCAGAGACTGAAGGGAGGAGCCAGAGATGAGACTATACCCTTCCAGCTCATGCCTCCAGTGGCCTGTTCTCTCTGACCTGTTCCCATCTCCAAATAAGAGACTTCGGGGGACATTTTAGGTCTAAACCATAATAGGCTCTAACTCTTCCAGGTTTTTTTTTTTTTTTTTTGGTTTTTCTCCGGTACCGGGAACCGAACTCACGACCTTGCGCTTGCCAGGCAAGCGCTTTTGCCGCTGAGCTAAATCCCCAGCCCCCTCTTCCAGGTTGTACTTATGAGGATTACAAGAGTGCCTATGGGATCTCAAGGCACACTGAGAGCAGAGAATCCTTAGAATAAGGAGCAAGAGGAACTTGCAAGTTGCTCCTGTGTGTAGCTTCTCAGACCCACTGCACAGCTAGTCATCACAGGGGCGGCTGGTGTGGCTGAAAGTGTCAGAAGTGGTGCATAAGAGGTAACTTATGTTAATCAGTTCTCATTGTGGGTACAAAGTACTTAACACCTGCAGTTTAAAGAGGAGAGATTTATTCGGCTAAAGGTTTCAGGGGATTCAGTCCATGGTAAACTGTTCAGTTCATGGCAGCCAGAAAGCAGACCAGGGAAACATCACCAAAGAGGAAGGGGCCAAGGATATAGACTCCAAGTTCTTGCCTTCATGACCTACCTAGCCACTTCTAAAAGTGCACTTCACTACAAATCCCCTAGGTATCTCCCAAAACAATCAAGTCGCCAAACTTAACTGTCACACGCCTGATCTAAGATGACTATTGTTGAAGAAGAAGCATGTTGGCCTGAGGAGAATGATAAGAAGGTTCAGGAAAGGTTGCTGGTTCCCTCTCAGGTATAAGGACTTATAAAAATGGGGATACCATAACACAAGTGAGGATTTGATTCAGGTGGAGAAGTCAGCAAAGCCTCTGAGCAAGTGCTGACTGAGACAATAGTGGGAAGGAGGTAGGGGATCATCTGAACCTAAGCAGTAGAAACTTTTAGTTCCTTTTAGTTCATGACTTTTTGCATGAGGGCCTGCACCCTCAGAGTGGACCAGAGAAAGCAGACCATAGTGGTGACCCCAGGGGACCTGGCATGACGTACTGAGCAAAGGTGCCAGGGTGAATCATCTGAGGGAAGGTTAGGGTGGCATGGAAGCAGCTGATCACAGAGCCAAGGGTGGATACGACAGAGAAGGGAAAGGCAGAGGCAGCAATTTACAATGGTTTCCATGGAAATGGAGCAGAACATAGGCAAGGGAGGAAGGTGAAACCCAAAGCCCTGTGCTGATGGCAAGATCTAGAGCAGACCCAGGCTACTAGGTGAGGACATAAATGTCACATCCTCTAGAGAGCTGAGAATATGGATGGAGCTGTCACCCAAGAAGGGGCTAGACACATAGGACAGAAAAATCCTGAGATGGCTCCCAAAGGGCCCAGGGTGAAAGTAACAGCAATAGAAGATTCTATAAAAGGGTTGAAGAAGGTATATTCTGACAGTGACTTATAGGCAGTTAAGTGGGTAATGTAAGAGATTTTGGAAGAGAATACATTTAGAATGGGTGTGGGAGATGGAATCTGAGGCCTTTAGACAAAAGATTTTAGGGAACTAGAACATAAACTACAATCAAAGCAGTTGCTAAAGTTTAAACACAAAGCAACCTTTGCTTCTGTGCAGACTTACCAGACATTATTTCTGCAAGATGCATTGCGGAGGTGGGTATTGATTTCACTTTTACTTAACACACTGGATGTAATGTGAATGTGCTGTAAGGAGCCTGCCTTGCTTTTGTGATTCACAGGAAGAAAGAATAAAATTAATCCAGGACAACGCTGGAATTCAACCACATGGTGAACAAACATTTGTTTATTACTCACAGACTGCAATAGAATAAAACAGGCAGCCTAAGGTGCGGCTTCCTTACTAGCTCCAACACTCATATGTGCTCAGTTAATTTAAATGACATGACCTGGTTAGCACACAGAACAAAGGAAATAGAAGTAAATGCTTTAAAATGACAGGAGGATATAAAACCCGGAGTAAATGTTTAACATTGCCACACAGAGTCCCAGCTGGATTTTAGCAGCAGCTGTTTGGCCCTTGAGTCTCCTGACAGTTACTTCCTCCTCATGGTCTGCCTTTAACCCTGTGTCCCACTCAGTAGAGTCCTGAGAGTCAAGAGTAATAATTATTTTAGCTACCATTGTTGAATGTCTTCTTTGGGTCCCATTTACACTAAATATATTATGTCATATATCTTAGTTAATTCATAATATAAAAAGGTAGATGAGGTGGTACCAGAACTCCTCCTAACCTTGTACTGGCCAGAACTGTTCACCAATGTATCATTTAGAGTTATTCCTTGCAGACCATAGAGTCTACACCAGCTGAATTAAAACAACTAGGTGTTTCTTATAACATTCACACAGTTGATTGAGTCACTGGGAGGGCTCAGGAATCAGACTCTTGGATGAACTCTGAAAGTCGCCATAGAATGGGGTCACCTCAGGAGCTGCTGCTGCTTAAGCAATCAGAAATTTGCTGAATGGAGATGCTATATTCTCCAACAGGGAGCCAGCGCCAGGGTCCTCAGCTCTAGGTTCATGCCACATCTGCTGTAACCAGGAGGCAACTCAGTCAGAAAGCCACTCCATTCTGGCTCCTTCTGAGACACATTTCTGCTGCAGAGACCCCTGCCAAAAAAGGAGATGCCAGGACTATGCTTTCTCTCTCCTCTTATGTCAGTTCCCGTACCTACCTCATGGTCTTCTCTTCGAGGGCTTGGTTCCAAAGCAAGCACAAGTGATTAATATTTAAATCAAATCTGGAATCCCAGCTGCAAGACACTCTGATAAGTTGAGCACCGCAGTTCTTCAGCCTCCATAGTAGAGGAAGGCAAGAAGGAAAGTTGTTGGAACAAAGGCTAAGTACACCAGGCCATTAGCTTAGTGAAATTGTTCCAGAGACTTGAGGTACTCAGCATGTGGCTTGTCAGCCTTTCCCTCCCTCATCCTCAGGCATGAGTCTACCTGTGTTATCCCACTGGATCTTCACCTCAACTTTTCAGCAAAATATTATCACCTCCACTCTACAGATAAGAACACTGAGGCTGGTAAAGTTTAAATAACTGCAAAAGTTCAGCAGAATCATGATTGAACCAAGGTCCATATTTTACTTGTATCCTGTAGAAACTATGCACAAACTAGAATAAACTCTGTCTGTTCTCAATTTCCTTTATCCTGAGCATGATTCACTAACTTTCTAAACAGCTGATGGCCTGGGACTCTCCCATCTCCAAACTTTTGTTCCAGCAATTTCCTTAATTGCTTCAGTTCCTTGGTTTCCTGGGCCACCTGGAAAGCCATGTGTGTTAGCGCCATCTGAGCAGAATCACTTTTCTCCCATATCTGACCCACTCAAATCCTAGCTGTCCTTTATGGCCCAGATCAAATGCTGCTCTCCAAAAGATTTCTCCGATCTCCCTGGCAGAAGGTAGTCCCACCCTCCTAGAGACATCCATGAATTGTATTTGTACCTCTCTTCACACAGTTCCTGCAATGAGCTTATGTAGTCATCCTTTTTGCAATACAACTTTCTTAAAGACAAGAACCATGACACTTATGTCTCTGTCCTTTAAATCTCCTGGTGCGGTGTATGTGTGCGGTAAGGATTCACTAGATGAAGAATGAATGAATGAATTTCTCTACTGAGGTGCTCTTTCCTACACAATACTGGATAATCTATATCCAAGTGATAACACATCAGTCGCTCTAATCTCCTAGTGTTTTTAGGTAGCAAGACTGTTGTTCATCTCCATTACCTATTCAATTAAGTTCACATTTACAAATAAGTCCTTATTATTTGCTAAAGACTGGATGTTCATGGGTCCCCAAAATTCACAAGTTGAAACCTAATTTCCACTATGGAAAATTGGAGAGGGTGAGTAGGTCACAAGGGTGGAGCTCTCACGAAGGGGATTAGTGCCCTTAGAAGGCGCTGAGGAGCCCAGAATTCTCTCCTTTCTACCATGTGAGGACACGGCTAGGAGGCATTGTCCGTGAAATGGGCCCTCTCTAGACAGCAAATGTGCTGGAGACTTGATCTTGGATTTCCAAACCTCCAAAATGTTGAGAAATAAATGTGTTTTTAAGCCACCCCGTTTATAAGAGTTGGCTGCAGCAGTCCATGTAGACTAATGTATACAGAATTTTTTTTTTTTAACCTACTGGTTTGTGGCTTTTAACATTTAAAAAAATGAACTAAAAAAGAGACAGAACAGAACTACATCTTTGAAGTTGAAATGAGTCCATTTCCTTTTTGGAACAACAATAGGATTTTTTTTTTACACTAGTACAGGCACTTAGCATAAGTAACAATTTATCAGGCCAGAAAAAGCAGAAGGAGTTATGGGACTGAAAGTGTCAAGGAGTCTCAATAGTCTACTTTTAATCCATTTAATTTCCTGTTAAAGTAAAATTTCTTCCACTTGTGTCATTCCTTTGGAGTCAGCAGACAGCAGCGGTCGCCTCTGGAAACAACCCAGTTTACAGCCCAGAAAGATGTTCCACAGTTTCTCTCCTGCTGTGTGGTTGATGAAACTGGTAGGCCAGCCACTTCCTCCTGGTTGCCATGGAAACAGTTAGGCCGCCGGCCCTCAGAAAACGGAAAAGTACAGCATGTGCAAGACCACGCATTCCACCCTGGCTTGCAGATTAAACCAGCTGTCAAGCCCGGGTGAAGGATCAGCGGCCGGGTGGAGGCAGTCAGGGCGGACAGACAAGGCACCACCGTGCAACTCTAAGATGTAAGTAATTTCTCTGCTCTTCTTTTTAAAAAAAAAAAAAAGTACATATACCTTAATAGTTTTTAGGAGCTGCAGGATTGCTATTGCTTGACAGGAAAGTTCAGAGAAAGTTTGAAGAGCCACTCTCAGGGCCACCACCTCATCGCTTTTGCATTTCCCAGACATAAGGTACTCCTATGGGTGGTGGTTGCTACGGAACTCATTTTTGGGCTTCCAAGTGAACGAACTGCCGTTTACTAAGATTCTGCCTTTAAAAGGAAACATTTTTTCAGGGCATTTAAACAATGAAAGAAACGGTCTTCTCATTTAGCCCTTAAATAGATAAACTCAATGAAAGCAAATATAACACATATCTCCGTGGAATCTGAGCTTCTTGGTTCTATTTTTAAAACATTTAACTATATTCTTTGTTAGTCTTCACTATTAAATCAATTAAATGAGAAAAATTTGTCACATCTCTTTCTTATTGCCTCTGCTAAGAAAGAAAAAACTGAGAGCTCTCAAAGCACCATCTTGTGTTGATTGTTTTTTTTCTTTCTTTCCGTCTTTTCATAATATGTTTACTGCCTGTTTATACACTAAGCTTTATGGTTTACTCATTAGAAGTTGTCAGAAGCTAAGGGAAAACAAGAAGTTTAGATGAGCATTAACATGTGGACTGGATAGTTAACTTTGGTTTAAAAAAATCATCGCTCTACTCAAAAGCAGAAAAAATGTATAACTTTTATTTAAATAAGATGCTAAATAGTGAATAATAAAGGCAAGATAAGAGGGCTGTTTCCAGAACTCAGTAGATCATACACAGTTCTGCGTAAGTTTCATTCTTTGGTAAGTATATTTTGGGATACTTTTTAGCAAAAAGTATGTTGGTATATTTGGGGGGAAGCAATGTTTTAAAAGTGCAGTGTATAATATTTATGAAAATGGTATCCTTTAAAAATATTTTTTAAAAAGGCTTTGAAAAATTTCTAGTGAAGAGAGTGATCCTTGAGAAGTTTTTACTTTTGGTTAACTGAATAATGCAATATGTTTGGAAGAAAAACAAGATTTTTCATTAATTATTTTTTGTGACAGAAAGTGGGCATTTTCTGAAAATAATGGTTTCGATACAGTATTTATGAAAATGAGTGCTCTTCAGAAGCTGACTTGGCTTTCCCAATTTTCTTTTCCAAGCCAGTCTTCTATTGCTTAAGACTTATGTAAGATCAGCTTTTAAAATCCAGTGGCCAGCCTCTAATCCCATCACTCTGGTAGGCTGAGGCAGGAGGATTGCAAGTTGGACCCCAGACAGGTCAATTTAGAGACTTAGTGAGACGCTGTCTCAAAATTTTAAAAATTACATTTAAAAAAGGTGTGGGGATATAGCTCAATGAGAAGGCCCTGGGTTTCAATCCTCAATACTATAAAAAAGAAAAAAATCCATCCAGTGTCCAGGGGCTCAATGTCTGTGTCTGCAGGAGCCAGAAAGTTGGTAGGCGCCTGTGGTTAAAGCGGTCATAGGTACCATGTTGGTCTGTGAGCAGCTGCGCAGAACTGTGGGTCTGAATCCCCATGGTTTAAACAACTTGAGGTGCAAACCTGGAAGGCTGGGCTCACTGGGCAACTCCCTCTCCCAAGGCCCTATGCTCAGTAGAAAGGTGTGGGGCACACACATTTTAGTGGGACTTTCCCTATGGTTAGCTCTGAGCTATCATTCGATGTCCCACCGTCTATGCAGAAGCAGCACTCAGCTCATACTGTCCTCTATTCTGACAATGAACTTAAACTTATTTTTAAATCTAATTCACAAATGTTTCTTTTTCAAAGAGTGTTTCTGGCATGTTTATGTGTAACAGCACTGAGTTCATTCCTTTTGTTTCTGCCTCACTTAGTGTGAGATGTCTGTAGACATTTTCAGTTAAAGCCACAGAGTCTATCACAGGACCCAGGGGTGTGGAATATCGCTTGCATCAGCATGTGCCCTTGGAGTGGGAAATGGCACTGAATTTCCACTGTAGCTCCTTAGGCTTTATTTGGCTGTCTGAGCTCCAATCTTAACTAAAACCAACTAATTCTGGGACATGGGCTATGTCATTTAACTTCTCTGTGTCTCCATTTTCTCGTATGAAAATGGGGCTATAATACCCACCTTGAAGATTACTGCAAATATTAAATGCTATGAAAGACATGAAGGATTTAGAACAGTACCTGGAATAAAAGAAGCCCTCTGTCTTAGTCATTGTCTTCATGGGTGAGACAAAAACGCCCAGCACCTACAACATAAAGGAGAACAGGTTTATTTTGGCTCACGTTTTAGAAGTTGCTGTCCTAGTGTGGCCAGTGGCTTCCAGGGAGAAGCAGTATGGTGGAAGGGTCTGCTGGAGGAAGCTGCTCACCTCTACGGCACACAGGAAGCAGAAGAAAGGGAATAGTGAAGGAGATAAACACTTCCGGGTCACGCATCCATTAACCTGCCTCTTCTGACCAGAACCCACTTTCTAACACCACAGCAGAGGTAGAACCCCAATAATCCAATCACCACCCACAAGCCCCACCTCTGAATGCATGAGGCTTTGGGGCTACATCCAGCTATAAACCATAACATACTTATTACATGTATTATTAATAAATAAAAACATGTATAATTCATTATTTCAGTCAGCTTTCAATATGTCTATATCCCTCATTTTTTTTTTTAATTTTAAAGAACATTCTCTCTCATCAGTGGTGATTTTCTATATTTAGCCTTGGGAGCATAGAGTTAAGTGACAGTAAAATACTGATACAGTAATATTTTTCCTCTACCTGTGAAACTGAACTTTCTTGGAAGTCAAGAAGTGACTGTTTGTCAGGTGTACATAGAATACCCAGAAAGAACTATCAAGTAAAATGGTGGGGGAAAGTGCCTGAAGCCCAAGGAAGAGATTAGGACAGTGGTGGCGAACCTATGATGGCGAACCTATGGCACGCATGCCGCAGTGGGTTCTTGTATCACTGAGAGCTCTAAAAGGTTTGCCTTCACTGGGATAGGAGGTAGAGATGTATCTTGGGTAGTGTTTTGTGCAATCACCAAAGGACTGGATGAGTGAACTGAAGTGAAGTGAAGTGAAGTGAAGAGAAGAGAAGAGAAGAGAAGAGAAGAGAAGAGAAGAGAAGAGAAGAGAAGAGAAGGGAAGAGAGCCAGACTCCAAGCTGTGGGCACGAATAGGGACAGAACAGGCAGATGAGACGTAGCCAAAGAGAGGAGGAGCTACGGCGGTAGCAAGAAAAGCAGGCAATCGGGATTCTTTCCCTCATGAAGGGAGTAGGCAACTATGAGAAGTAAGGTTTCAGGAAAGAGGTGAGATTTGAAGACAGTTTAGGAGATGGAGATGGCTTCTTAACAGGACAGAAATATGAATCATCCCCACACCCAGGGCACAACATAAGCAGTACAGAGAGGAATCGATTCCCAGTGGAGAGTAACAAAGCACAGTGGAGCCCAAAGACCACACACACACACAGAACTCATTCCTAAAATATTCCTTACTGCCTCCCCTTTCCTAGGATAATGTACACATTTCCCAAAAAAAAAGATTATTTTCCATGTGTGTGGTAAAGACACTAGAATTTCTCCATGGTTTGAGATCTGAGGAATTCATTTGGGCTTGAGTATACATCATGTCATGGACACTTGGTTTAGCCCTAATCGTGATGCCCAGGTTTTTTATTGGAGCTGCTGTTGCCACAGAATTAATTTTCAGAGTCACCAATAAGATCAGGAAGACTGCTTAAAGTTCTTATTTTTGAATATTGTTTGATTCGCACAAAAATGATGAAGTCTCACAGTAAACATCTTACATTAGCATAGTACATCAGTCACAATTAACAAAGCAACGCAATACATTATTATTATAAAGTTGGAATGTTATTTAGATTTCCTCAGGTTTTTACTGTATACCCTTGTTTGGTTCCATGATCCCATCCAGGCTGCTATAATACCTTTAGTCATCCTTTCCAAGAGGCATTTTAAAGCACTTAAAAATCTTTCAAGAAAGCCACAAAGTTTAAATATCCTTTGGTTCCAATATTTGCATCTCATACCACCAAAGGAAGGCTCTGTTCATACTCTTCTAAAACCAAATCGTTGGAACTTGAACAGAGATGAAAGGAACAGCCTGAGGCTTACATCTTGAGGTAAGAGTTCAAGGTTCTCTATGAGAATGTAAGAATGAGGGGCTGGGGATTTAGCTCAGCGGCAAAGCACCTGCCTGGCAAGCGCAAGGTCATGAGTTCAGTTCCCGGTACCGGAGAAAAACCAAAACCAAAAAAAAAAAAAAAAAAAAAAGAATGTAAGAATGTGCAACTGCAAGAGGAAGGTCTGATTCCCCTTGTATTGTTCAGGAAGCAGGTAATTAAAATGTTCAAGGCCTGCCTGCCTCTTCTTGTTTCTCATCTGCTAGCAGAGGGATTGGAGTCTAATTCACTATACTTGCCAACCTCCCATGGAATACCAGCCCAGGGCTGTGAGCAAAGTTCCCACTGGCTTGGCTTTACAAGACAGAACTCTTCCATGTGCAGCATGAACTGTTAAAATCCTTCAACAGAAGATGGGCTTGGCTGTGCAGGCTGGTAATGCCTGCAAAGGGGAGACTGAGGCAGGAGAATCAGAAGTACAAGCCCAGTATGAGCAATTTAGTGACTTAGCAAGACCCTGTTTCAAAATTTAAAAATAACAAATGGACTGCGGATGTAGCTCGGTGTGAAGGCTTTGGGTTCAATCCTCAGTACTGAAGAAAAAGTCCTTTAACAGACAGCAATGAAGCCAGTGGCTCAGTGGTGCTCTCAGACGTCTGAGAGGTCCATGCAGTTAGCTGGCAGTCTCTGCCCATGAATCCTGCAGCCATGGCCTCATCTGATCTCAGACAGAAAATATCCAGGAAAAAAATTGTATCTGCACTGAACATGGCCATTGTTCCCCAAACTATACAGTATAACAACTGTTTGTATAGCATTTTACAAATGCTGTATTAGGTATTATA